TTCATAAGAAATAAGACCTCATTTTACACCATGCAAATGAATGAATTTTTTTTTATTTAACTCAAATGATATTCATGATGTTTAATATATATAGTCAAAAGTGAAGCAAAATAAAGAAATGAAAAACTAATGTAACATGCCTTGAATTTATTATTTTTTGTTCATCATCACTCTTCTATTTAGGATTCACTCTATAAACTCTCCTTCATTCACATTGAAGAATTTTAACTGAGATCTTGAACTTATTTGTTCAAACCATTTTGCAAAACTTGTTAGGGTTGCTATACTGTTAACTTTTTCATTCTAAATCTATCCACATTGTTGAAACTCGTTCAATGAGAATTAGGATGTTAAGCCTAATTAACTATCCTAAGGCTAACTAAGAGGGGGGTGAATTGGTACTTAAAAAATTTTAACCCTCTTTTAAAATTATTGGAAACTAAAACTTTAGTTAATGAGTTTTTCTAGAAAAAGTTTTTCAACCACAAAATTTTTAATCACAAAAAGTAAATAAGTAGCGAAAAATAAATGACACCAGATTTATAGTGGTTCGGTCAAAACTAGACCTACATCCACTCCTAGAGGCACCTTCTGGGTTTTGCACTAATACCAAATAGTGACTCTCCTTTAGCACCCACAGCAAGGTGGAGAATCCTTTATAAACTCTTTTCACCACTACCCAGTGCGGCAGAGAACCGTCGTCCTTTCACACTCCCCTGATGTCGGCAGAGAACCGTTCATCCTTTCACACTATCCCAAGTGTTGGCAGAGTACCGTCGTCCTTTCACACAATCACCAGTGTTGGAAGAGTACCTTCATCCTTTTACACCCTCCAAGTGCGGGCAGAGAACTTACCCTCTGTTGTTCACACCCTCCAAGTGTCGGCAGAGAATCAGATCTTCTTCCAAGATCTTCTTGACAAGTCCAATCTAAAAGAAAAGAGAGAAGAGTGAAGTAATCTCAAAGTTTAAAGTGAAAACACTTACTCTTGAGTACCAAGTGAAACCTTCACGCTCCAAAGGCAAGAAATCTCTTTCAAATGCTCTCTCAAACTCTCCTTAACTCTCTTCTTAATAAGTACGAAGATCAATGACCTAAAAGATTAAGTTCCAGTTTAGAAAGGCCTATTTATAAAAGAGACAAGAAAAACCATCTAAAAATGGTAGATTTCAGGTTATGTTAATCATGATCGTCCCGTACGATCAAAAATTGTCCCGGATGATTTTACTTAAAAGCCTTGAAACAAACCTGTTTGCATATGTGTATGAAATAATTTCATACACGCTAATCGTCTGTACGAACTAGGTTCATCCAGACGAACAGTTATCATAAGGTCGATTCCAAAAACTTCAGAACTGATTCACGAAACTGTCTTAAGTCGGTTTGATCGTCTGTACGAAATTGCGATCGTCTGGACGAAAATCGTCTAGAGAGCAAATCGTCCTGACGATAATTAATTTTGTTTGGGACGAAATTCTTACAAAGAGCAAATCGTGTTGAGTCTAGTAATTAGGTTGTTAAGCCTAAGTTAATGTCCCAAGGCTACCAAGAGGGGGGGTGAATTGGTAGTTTAAAAATTTTAAACCCTCTTTTTTAAAATTATGTTGAACCGAAATGAAAATATTTCATTAAGTTTTTGTAGAAAAAAGTTTTTCAACCACAGAGTTTTTTAAGACTAAAATTAAAATGCGGAAACGTAAAAAAAGTAAAGTAAATGACACCAGATTTATAGTGGTTCGGTCTAAAACCAGACCTACATCCACTCCCCAGAGGCACCCTCTGAGTATTGCACTAATACCAATAGTGACTCTCCTTTTGCACCCACAACAAGGCGGAGAAGCCTTTACAACACACTCTTTTAACCACT